CCTGTAGAGGACAGTGTATGTGTGGTTTCTGGCTATTCCTGTAGCTGTAGGTCCTACAAATAAAAAGCTAATAAGCGAACAGACAGAAAACTAAAGTATCCTACCGCCACAGCCTCCAGAATCTGTTTGATGACGTGAGCGGCGTCTCTCTCGCTGTAGTAGCCGCGCTCCACGATCCTGGAAACAAAAATACAGTCAGAACATGACACGATTTTAACACAGAGAGAAACGTGACACCTGAATCCACACACCAGCGGGTGTATCGTCTTCATGCCACCTGAGATTTCATGCCTGATATCTGCAGCCTGATTTGCTACACCTCTGCAGCTCACTAATGAACATCTGTCTGGTTTACTGCTTCATGCTGGATCTGTTATTCTCTGGGCGCCCTGACTTCCTGGAGTTTCTGCCTGGAAATCTCATGGTGGCTGGAAAATCAGAGCACTCAGAACTGATTGAGTATCCTCGACCACATCCACTGCTCGAAGGAACATGTTCCAAATGCTCCCTGGGAGTTATAAAATGCTTGTAGCAGCGCTGGTAGAAAAACTTGGATTCTTTACTGTTGTGAAAGGCGCAATACCCTCCTGCATTCAAAACGTATCCAATTAAAACCTATCGTTGGGAACATGGTGTAGTGTTACTAAACGACTGCAGCGACTGCAAGACTTGAAGCTAAATCCTGATTTATACCTAATTGACAAGTCCCACGGTGCAATCATTCATCCTGGAAAAGGTAGTCATGTTTCTTTATGGCATCTTAAAGGATAAATCTGGTTTATTTCAACCTGCTGTTATTTCTATTAGTGTGACTTTTTATTTTTATTTTCAAGTTTCATGTCATTTTGGGCAAGAATGAATCATTCTGATGAATTTCCAAATCATTTCAAATCACTTTTGAGTATTGTTGGACAAGTTTTTGTGATTTTGGACAGATTAACTCATTTTCAACAACCACTCATCACACTTAAATGACCTGTGACCATGAGGGGATCCACCCTTACATTTAGCTGCTGAGCTTCCACAAAGTTACACATGGAAACAAACCAGTGGATAATTTTGTCAGTAATTAGGTCAGACAGCAAGTATCCTGGATGGACATCACTAATGCAGTTAGCTAAATGTCAGTTCCAGGCAACCAGTTTATGCGCTTCCTTTGAGTCTGACTGAAAACAAAAAAGGACTCATATTAAATAAAATAAAAATCAACAGCACAACAGAGTTGAGAGTGCAAAGTTACCATCACAGATAGAGACACAACAGACACATAATGGGGTAATGCAGCAGGCTGAAATAAACCAGAAGGATTCTTTAAATCTGAGCTCCAAAGTGTGCAGATACTCGAAGTCAGAGAGCAGGATGGATTCTGTAAGCATGACGTCATTACTTTTACACAAAAGGGCTGTCAGAGGGTCCAGACTTGGTTTTGGGTCAGAATCGGGGTTTAGGATCCAGGGAATAAGTTGTGTCACTGTTGCTTGAGTACAAACGGGTGTGTTGTAAATGTACCTGTCAAACAGCTCTCCTCCAGTCACCAGCTCCAGCACCAGAGCGATGTCAGTGTCCGTCTCAAAGATCTCCTTCAGCTGGATCTGAAGCCCAAACATGAAGATGGAGGTGAATTAAAACTTCATCAGCATAGATACACAGCTGAAACCAGAAGTTTACATACACTGTATAAAAAGAAACAGAACCTTTGTTTTCTCACGGTCTGACATTAAATGTGACTAAACTTTTCCTGCTTTAGGTCAGTTAGGATTACCAACATTATTCCTATTTGCTAAATGCCGGAATAATGAGAGAGAATTTTTTTTATTATTTTCCTCAAAGTCAGACGTTTACATCCATTTCTTTAGTATTTGGTAGTGTTGCCTTTAAACTGTATGACTTGGGTCAGATGTTTTGGGTTTCCTTCCACAAGCTTGTCACAACTCTTTGATAGAGTTTTGGCCCATTCCTCCTGACACAACTGGTGGAACTGAGCTAGATTTGTTGGCCACCTTGCTTTACCTGCCTTTGCAGCTCTGCCCACAAATATTCTCCAGGATTGAGATCAGGGCTTTGTTTGAAAACACTGACTTTCTTGTCCTGAAGCCTCTTTGTAACTAACCTGGTTGTATGCTGAGGGTCATTGTCCATTTGGAAGACCCATTTGCGCCCAAGCTTTAACTTCCTGGCTGATGTCTTGAGATGCTGCTTCAGTATTTCCACATAATGTTCTTTCCTCATGATGCCATCTATTTAGTGAAGTGCACCAGCCCCTCCTGCAGCAGAACACCCCCACAACATGATGCTGCCACCCCCGTACTTCACAGCTGGGATGGTGTTCTCAGGCTTTCAAGCTTAACATAACTTAGAATATGGGAAGTATGCTGCTGATTATTGAATAACGTGAGCTTGTTTTATTGGTTCATGTGTTAGTTTGTGTGTGTGAACTGCAGCTGTCATTTAATTCTGATTTTAGGTTTTAACCCCTCAGCCTTATATTTTGAAAAGAATCAACTCTGCTTCTAAATCGTTTGAAAGCACAAAACCTAACAATCAAAGGGTGTAAAACATTTTAAGATGCCAACACCAAAGCAGCAGTAATGTCTTATTTCTTGTAGTAAGAGTGTGCACACAGTGAAATGGTCGTTTCATAACTTTTCCACTGTCTACGAGGGCACATGCTCAATGAATCACTGCATGCTACACACTGTTTTCACTGTCAGCGTTCAATGAGCTACATGCTTTTAGCCCATTTTGGTAAAATAGGGTTTGATTGTTAAGAGCTTCACAACTAGTGGGAGACAATAGATGAAAATGAGCCTTTAAGGTTCCCTGGCTCATTCTTTCATTCATCATCCAACAGTCAAATCAATACATTAAATGAAATAAAACAGTTTCCTGCCGCAGTAATAGTTTCTCTGTCATGCTGTAGATTCAAGGTAGAACAATTAGTTGATTAGTGGCCAACTGTTACATTAATCAACAACTATTTTGATAATCAGCGAATCAGTTTGAGTCATTCTGAATATTTTCTAATGTCGTTCCTCTTCTATGACAGTAAACTGAATGTCTTTGGGGTTTTTTTTGCGAATCACTGATCAACATTTTCTGACATTTTATAGACCAAAAAACTCATTACATAATCCAGAAAATAACAGACATATTAATCAATTCGTTGCGGCCTCACATCCACCAACCAGAGCAGCAGAATACAGAACAAACACCAATTCTGATCCAGCATGAGAACAGTTCCACATACACAACAACCGACGGCGTATTTAATGAGAACCTTTTTTTTATTCCAGCTTCCCGTGGTTTGCACCGACTGATCCTGCTTCTCTGATGCGTCTTCACTTGATATTTAAAATACAGAGCGAGTGCTCTAAAGCGTCTGAACTTTGCAAATGACAGCCGTGAAAATGTGGAGGTGATAATAAAAAGACGTTTTAAATGTTCCCAGGCGTCATATGTCCCAGATTCAGCTCACCCAGGACGTACAACAGATAACAGTCACATGCCTGGATGAAATAGCCTGAATCTGATGAAAATTGAGCTGTTTTTTGCTTTTAAAACATTAAAAACATTAACACTTGAATTCACAGTAGAGCTCAAGTACTCAGGAGATGAACTCTGGTCCAAACCCAGAAATACAGTTTAATCTGCATCCAACTCTCGTCTCATTCCAGTTCCTCTTTAGGCAAACTTTCAGTCATCGAGATTGTAGCTCAGGTTGAAACAACATGTTAAAAGTCAGCCATGCAAAGCAAATAGAGGTGCAGTGAAAATATGCAGCTAATTTCATTTTGTTCTGCCTGTGAGCAGCTGGTGCATACGATGATACAGCCAGACATTAGGAAAACCAAACCGTCCTCAAATCAGCACATCACAGTGCAAGCAGAGAATAAAAAAAATAAAAGTGAACTGATTAAATATGCAGATGATGAAATCAGTCATTAGTCATTAGTTAATTTTACTTCTGAAGATGTTTCATATCCACAAGCTTCCACTGTTGGCATTTTCTAACACTTCATCTTTTGCACTGACTTCCTCCGACTGTGACTCAACTGTCTGTGTGAACAACGAAGGATCTAGAAACGACTCCACAGCAAAGAAACACCTGAGCTGCAGGAAACGTTACATCACAACATCGTCTTTGTGATCAATCAGTCTGGATCAAACCAGGAGCAGTGATCTACAGAAAACTCACGGTTTTATTCACAGACACAGATGTTTGGATTCACACTTGCGTTCATGCTTCACGACGTGATGAATGACCTGTTCTCTTCAATTACAGCTGAATGTCAGTGATTTGGGATGTGACCTGGACTAGTCCTCTAACTCACAGGTTCTGGATCTTTTCAAAATAACAGACACTCATGAGCTCCACTGTCCCTGGAGGAGGATTTATAGTAATTTAATAAAGGCTAGTAGCAGCATGCATGAGTCAAACTGACCTCCATGTAAAAACTGCAGTCCTGAGTAAACATACAGTATGTGATGATCTGCAGACTCCCGTATGTGTAAACTTACATTGCTGGAATTTTTACGTATTTGTTTCCTTTCAACCTTCAACTCATCTAATGAGGCAGGTGAGGATCATACGTGTAGCGCAGCAGGTCCATTCTGGGTTTCATTATATTAGCATGGTTTTATAATACTCAGCTATATCTACATTTTGTACGAACTATGGCTAAAATATGCTGCTTCTAATCATTAAAAAAAAAAAAAGATTTCCCAAAATCATCTTGTGACCCTCTAGGGGTTCCTTATCCCCAGCTTGGGTACCACTGCTGTAAAGACTCACTTGGACTAGTTAGCAGCAGTGATCAACCAATTATCCGATCCAATATTCAGCATTTTATTGGTTCTCGGTATATTTTAATGTGCTACTTTGGCTTGGATGCTTTTCTCCATCTGCAGTCACTGTGTGTCCCGCCCACAGCATCTGATAGGCTACACATAGCGATTAATAGCCTATAAACCTTAAAGGATAAAGGTTAGAAAGCTTTCTTTTATTTAAACATAACTAGACAAAGGCATTTCGATGTGTGTTGCTTGTGTTATTCTAAATGTTGACACCGAGATTTTCGGTTTTATTCCGAATATAAATCAGTTCCAAATGTGGTTATCAATCTCCTTGATAGCTAATAATCCATATCTACACTAAAGGAAAAACACATCGTCGACCTCCAAGAGCACAACCTCATGTAAACTTCATTTTCACTCGTCTCCATGGAAACACACAGTTAGCGGTGCCGAGGGAAACGTGGATACTCACGATGTTCGGGTGGGAAAGACGCAGCAGGACGCCGATTTCAGTGCGCACGATTTTCTTGTCGATCTGCGGCAGAAAAAAACAAAATCAGACAACGCAACAAAGATCTGATGAGAAGTCAGCCCAAACCCAGAACAAAGACTGGAAGAACTTGTAACAGCTCCATCTGAGTAATTTCTCCTGATTTAAATGGTCAAACAAATCAGTTGTGTTGCCTTGTGATGTGGCAACATTTGCAAAGCACTGATGACGGAGAACCTGTTTTTGGTCAACATTGCCAAAATACTTCGATACAACTGACTAGAGCTGGACGATTATGGTCAAAATGAAGACTGCAAGTATTCTGATATTCAAGATTGTGATCACTAGTATTTAGCACAATTATTCATTGATTTTAAAGGCAATATTTTTATTGGCCTTTGACACTTAAATAAACAGAAACCTACTTTTACTTCTATGCTGCGCTACATTTCTGCTAATGTACAAATCTGCATCAGGAAAAGACTCAAAATAATCTTTACATGAATTCAGGGCATCGCTTAGAGGCTAAATATCAATAAAATTGTACCAGAAACACCTCACTTGCTAAACAGCTACTTATGAATAGGTACTATAATTCACCAATGTTCCTTCAACGCCTCATGTGCAGGCTGCAGTAGCAGCCAGCTCGGCATCGTGTACAGAGAAGCTTCTAGTCTCCACTCAGTTACTGCAGCAGCTCAGACAGCTGTGTGACCAAGAATTACTTTGAAAAGAGTGAAATAAGCAGTTTTAATGTTAGATTTACCTGAAACCAAGTGATTCTATCTACATGGGCTGTTTTTTATGAGTGGAGATTTTAAAAGTTAGCATCACAGTCGAGTATTTCGACTAAATTGTGGGAAAAATCATGATCATGATAATTATTCTGTAACTGATGCAGACCTACAACTGATTTGCTTCTTTTCACAACCAAATTGTTTTTCTCTTCAGTCTTTCTGTCTTGTTTCTCGTTTGTTTTGCTGTGGACATGTGAAGGCGGGCTGCAAGGTGGCTCGGTGGTTAGCACCATTGCCTCGTGGCAAGAAGGTCGCCGGTTCACGTCCCAGTGAAGATACCCGGGATCTTTCTGCGTGGAGTTTGCATGTTCTAATTGGTGATTCTAAATTGTGCGTAGGTGTGAATGTGAGTGTGCTTGTCTCTATATGCAGCCCTGTGATAGACTGGTGACCTGTCCAGGTGTCCCCTGCCTTCACCCTGAATCAGCTGGGATAGACTCCAGCCCCCCATGACCCTAGTGAGGATTAAGTGGTGTATAGATGATGGATGGATGGACTATACCATGATGTGTTTGAGTAAAGTCTGCTGGTTTAATCTTAATCTCAGTCTGAGTGTATTTTGGGGAAACCTGCTGCAGCTAATTAACAGAACAGAACTTTAGCAGAATTTGCTTCGTGTGTTGCTGTTCATAATGTTTTGGCTCATCTGTGCACATGCTGTTATCTATGACGTCTCCTTCGTGTCGGGTCGCTCACCGTTTTCTTGAGGACTTTGACAGCGTAGGGTTTCTGGGTCTGTTTCTCCTCACAGCGGTACACGATGGACGTCGCTCCTCTGAGACAAAACACAAAACAAGCAGAGTTAAACCTAAAAACTTCCCAAAACACATGCAGGGTGCATTTGTGCCACTTCAGGGAACACAAATATGCCAAGTGCACTTTCTACCAACCAGAGCAGGGTTTTTGGAGAAATCTGTTGTTGACATGCAAACGTTGCCTTTTCTGGAAATGTATGCAAATTAGAGCATCATGTCGATATGAAAAATAACTGTCTGAGTGTAACTAATGAGCTGGAGAAGTTTCACAGTGATGTCTGTTTTCATTTTTACCACATATACCTGCAGTGTTCTGCTTTAATGTGCACCTGAAATCTCTGGTGACTAGTTTTAATTACAGGTATGTGTCTTGCTCAAAATGATATTTCTTTATTGAATGTTTTTAGTCTTGTTTAGGCGTAATAACAACCTCTTTTATATCCTGTATATCTTTACTTATTTTAGATATTTTTAATGCATGTAACAGTTGGTGTTCCTGGAACTTTTGCACTATTGTATGTTCAGGAATTTCATTATCCTCTATTGAACCTACAGTATTTATAAAAATACTGGGAGTTTAAACATGCCTTTCCACCAGACACTCCAGGAACTTTATCCCAAGAACCAATGCAGAGAACGTTTTTAAATTTGTGTTTCCACAGCAAACCCCCAAACATTCACAAAATGAGTCTGCTAATGTGTCAAAAGCACAACAGTCTCAGAGCAGAGCAGCCTGTCTGCAGCTTTGGGCTTTTAAATGTAAACCAAAGCTGCAGACTGAGGTGAGGTGAGGTAAAGGTAAAGTAAGGTGAAGTAAATGTTAGGTAAGTTGGATAAGAGCAGGACCTTTGAAGTGATGGAAACATGACTATCTGTGTGTGTTTGGAGGGACCTGGTATTCTGCTGGGAAAGATGGAGGAAACAGATCCATCTGAAAAGCAACCCCACACACACACACACACACACACACACACAGTCCTGGCTGGTCTCCATGGCAACAGGACACCTGGTAACAGAGCTGGTGGCTCACACGTTTGAGTTCACCGCTGACATCATTTTACCGTTTTCTGCAGATTTGCCGTGAGTGTTGTTGTTTACTGAGACAACAACGAACAACCTACACAGTGAGTAAATGCACACAGTCCACTGCACCACGGGGCACAAACACACACTCTGAGCGACCACAGTCTGTTGTCATGTTTACACAGACTTTTTGCGAACAAACAACCAGAGGAGTGAACATCACAGACCGAGGACTTATTGGAACCCTTTAGTGAAGTAAAAGCACCACAGTGTGAACGCGCTCCACGAGGCTGCAGGTCGCCGTGGTGTTGAACTGGACTGGTGCTTCTAATATTTTGTCCACCCTATTCACCAACAATGGGTCGGCAAAACATCATCATCTTCTTTTTGGTAACACTATTTAGCATCTATCATCAGTTTAAAAATACTTAACAAACAAACAGACTGTGATGTGATTATGGGTGGATACAAGCCTGTCTGGTAAATACTCAACAACTATGTGAAAATATGACACATTTTCCAAACAATACCAGTTAAATAAACAAAATATGAGTTGAACCTCTGGGGGTTTAGAACTACAGTCTATTTAAAATATCCAAGAAAATATGTTAAATATCTAAAATAATATCAGTGACATGAACAAATATCTAAAATTATAATTTTTGGGAAGAAAGTCTGTAAAATG